TTGTTGGTGGTTTTCCCATGTTTTTCACCAACCCCTGATCACTGATCAATGATCATCAATCATTAATTATCTAAGGAAAGCACGGTGTAAACATCCACACATGTTGATACATTTTGCACATTTCCTTCATGTTCCCCATGTTTTTTTCCTACAGAATGGTGCCTTTCCCAAAGTTCTACCGCCTTTCTGCCTTGGAGGCCAAAGATGTGAAGGGCCCTACGGGAACCACCGCATCCTTAGCACGCGAGGGCGTCTACATGAGGTGCCGTGGCTACGTTCAAGCCTTGTTGGTTGATAATTAGGGGTTGTAATGTGTGTAAAACAAGAGTAAACCACCCATTTGGGAATGGTTTATACCACCTATGTATGGTGAATTTGGGGGATGGTTTATTGTTGTTTTACCCACATTCCTGCCCTGGATCTCTTAAGGATTACCCCCTGGTAATTTTCAACGTTGCTAGCTGGAAAATCCACCAGTTATAGGTGATTTTCCCATCAAGCTCCGTTTTGCTTGATTTCTGTTTGATTGCGGAAGGGTATCAGAATCCATTCTGGGAATTTATCGGTCTTAACCAACCAGCAGATGGAATGACAGAGGGTATCAGACACTTGGGCAAGTAGATAATGAGTAGATTGCTTCGACCCCAATATAAACAATTGAGGTATACTGTATACTCTTCAATGGGAAACCCCAAAGAGTCTTGCTAGGAGGAAAAGGGACCATATATAAATCTAAGATAATCTAAGTAAGAATCTTAGTTTGCAATGTTTGAAGCTACGTTTAATTCACGTTCCTTTATTGGGCTCATGGGTGCGGAGGGAGAGGATCTTCGAGCTGTAGATTTTGTTAGCATTGGATCATGTGCTTTTCTTTCTTTCATTCTCTCCCGCGTTCTTCCTTCAGTTGTTTCCTCTTTCTTTCCTGTGTTGTTTCCTTTCTTTCTTGTGTCCTTTCCTTTGTTCTTTCTGTTTGTGTGCATTGTTTTTCCCTTCTGTCCTTCTCTTTCATATGATTGGAAACCTTGGCATGCTTTGGAAAAGTGGTACTTAGCAACATGCTTGAAAAAGCAGTAATTAATTACTGTATATAGTAAAGCTAAAGGATGGCGTCTTATAAGATTCACTTAACGATCTCAGGTCGTTTAACGATGTTTAACGTCCTGAATTCTTGCCACTGTTTAGGACCTGTACAAATCAGCGGGCAACATTACGGGTGAAACGTCATTGGAACATGAGGCTGCCCCCACGTCAAATGGTGAAAGGTCGAAGAAAAAGGTATGGATAGGAGAAGTCCAACTATGTTATACATATATATGTGTATACATATAATACATATATATATATATACACATGTTTACATACATACATATCCTATGCATATATATATATGGTGACACTGGAGCTATGGAAGATGCCGTTTCTACTGCAACTCCCTGCCGCCAGGCCGATGCAACGCTAGCAACAGTGTTCACCCTGAAGAGGCTGCCATTTCCATCACCGTTCAGCTTCGGTGGTGTGGAATTCCCAGATTTCCAGGGTGATTCCCTGATTTTCTCTGCCGGTTCCCTGAATTCATCTGAATTCCCAGGAAAACCTAGAACTTTTTTTGCCGGTGATGAGCAGCTTGAGATTATCCATGAGAGATACATTGCATCCGTTTAGACAAGCCGCCCAACGCATCAATCAACCAGCCCATAGATAAACTGTTTCATGTCAACCCTGATTGATTACCCATATAAAAAACATATAACTATTGAACATGGCCATTTATAGTTGATTTACCCATTAAAAATGGTCATTTTCAATAGCTATGTTAGTTTACCAGATGGTAGTTGGAGCTACCGCAAGAAGCGACACTTTCTCTCCATGCACAGGTGATTCGCCAGCGGCTCAGGAGCCACTGCATGGAACGTAGATCGCTTTGGGCGTGAAGAACGCGCCTTTTTCGCACCAAAAAATCTAAGTAGATGGCGTCCGGATACATAGCAAGTATCATCGTGTTTTTGTTGGTTCATTAAATAGTTTGCTGGTATGGTTTCCCAAGATCCGGGTCTAGCTTTCAAGAATTCCACGGGAAACCGTGGAACCATTGAGGAAACTGTTGATGGGCTTTTGAGGCACATCTACTTGGCAGGTGCTGCACAAATGCTAGAGCTGGGGCTGCAAGCTTAATTGCGTGCTTTCGCTCCAAAAATCTGCAACGGTGGGCTGGGAGACACCCTGAGGTTGGTATATGATTGGTTTGAACATTGTTTCAGTTTAACCAGTGCCATGAGGGGGGTTAGGTTAGGGTTTGAAAAACTGGCTCAATTGTTGGGAATATGTAATGCTTTGATACACTTTACTTTCCCATCCCGGTTTGGAGTGATGCAAAGTTATTTTTTGGGGCGGGATTGGAGGGGGATGGTTTGAAATCATCAGTTGGTTGCTCTCTGGAAGACATTTCATGATTAAAGTATCAGTATATCAAAGAATATCAAGATATAAATTAACATGTGTTAAGGATATTGAGATATATTAAGGGATATTATGCAACTTTCGACCAGAAATTCGAGGCATAGAATGCCTTTGATGGCAGCATTTTTGTCCTATCATTCCCGTCTTGCGCCATGCCTTGGTTTGAGGGCTGCAGTGTGGTCAGTTGTACAATTTGGACCTTTCAATTCGGTTCCGAATCTACCCTCTGGTAAACTAACATAACTATGGAAAATCACCATTTTTAATGGGAAAACTCACTATAAATGGCCATTTTCAATAGCTATGTTAGTTTACCAGAGGTACTAGCATAGATGCAAAACATTGCTTGTTTGTGAATGACTTACCTGAATGGTGATCCACATCTATGTTAGTTTGCCCCAGGCTTTTTTTTTGTTTTTTGGGCATCTTTGTTCGTAAATGTCTTGCATCCTATTGAATACATATCCCATTGGTGGCGAAAATCTGCAGGAAACACCTGTTGTGGCAGCATAGGTGGTAAAGACATGCAAAGACCATGGTTTCCGGTGAATTTTCCCTTTAACCAAGCGAGGATGTGGTGGGTACATGTTGCGCAAGACGTGGAAGCTACAATAGGATTGGCCACTGACTCTTCACATTGCTAACTTATATAACTTGTATGACCTTCTGGTAATTTAACCGTTTATTGAAAATGGCCATAGAAATAGTTGACTTACCCATTAAAAATGGGGATTTTCCATGGTTATGTGGCTGTTTACCAGAGGGTAGTGGTACAATGTCAAGATGTAATTTACAGAATGAAACTTCAAATTGACAAGCGTTTCCGATGATTTGCCTTTGGATTTGTTTGCTGGATAGTTCAGCTTCCATGGCGCCTATGAAAAGCTGGTTCAGCTTTTTAGTTTGACAATTGCACATGGCAAGTCAGCGTGTGACAATAAGCCAGCCATATTCCTGGGCCTGGCTTGGAATGCATTGAGGAAAATCAGATACCTGATACTGCTAAATTTAGTCACAGGGGTTTTAAATGGCATGGCTTAGCATGAGTTAGCCATGATTTCATCTATAGAAATAGTGAACATAAAGCATATCTTGACACACAAGGGTGTTTTTATCAGCTTGCCCCACGAGTGCTGCCGCGGCCATGGCCCATTTCGTTTCCATGGCCTAAGGCGCATCCAGTTTGTGGCTGCGAAGCACGATGAATGGTTAGATTAACATGTTAATGTTAACAAAATTATGGACACGTCAGTGATAATCCAGTTAATTAAGTTCAAATATTCGGACGGTTCACCTGAGTTCAATCTGGATCAAACTGGCATTTTGCCTCGAAAGCTCCTCTTAAAACTCAGGGTCAATGCTTCAGAATGTTGCTCCTTAGACTTGAGGCGCATCGAAATCTGGGGCTGTAGAACCCTCTAAATGTTGATTTCTTGAGGCTGTTTCGGCTGTTTCTTTGTTTCTTTGCTGCTTTGTGCTTACCCTCCAGTAACCAAACGTGGCACTGGAAGATCTCTCATTTATAGTTGATTGCCCCATTAAAACTTCCATTTACGGTGGATTGTGCTTAAATTGTGATACTTCTCCCCTCTGGTCCGGCCATGGTAACCCTGTGACTGGGATTTTGGCGTGCACATGTTTAGGAGTTGAGAGTACCTCAGGTCATTTAATATATAGCTATAGAATCTAGAACATATTCAAAAATGACCAATTTATAGATTCACCTCTATAAACATATATAGATTAGCTATAGAATGACCATGATTTAATATAATTAATGATTCACCTCTATTTATAAAGGATGACCCTCGAGATCTAACATCCTTTGCCCATCAACTTTGTGACCCTCGAGAACGATTTTTTTTGGTGATCCGAGTCATCGATATGGATGTGTCTGAAAATGGGGTGTTTTCCGGTATACCATGGTATTCTAAAATGGCTATTTGAATGGGAAAATGGTGAATTACTAAATTCTCGGGCACCCTATTTTCACACAAACCCATATATGTGTTTTGCGTGTTTTGACAGTATTCCGATTTCTGTTGGCAAATACCCCCATGATCTTCCCATTCATCTCATCAATTCATGGGAACCACGACTAAAACCGCTTCAGTTTTGTGAAACCGTTCATCTCTGTTGCTTAGTAGGGAATGGATAGGAATGGGGGAATGGGATGATTATTACTAGTGATTATGGATCATTCCCTCATGCCCTGCTAAGCACTAGTAAGACTATTTCTACGGGTACTTGCAGGGTCTAGGACTGTATGAATGTATATCGATATGAGTGCGCAGAAGTTGACCGAACCACCTCTGTTTGGACGGAGAGTTTTTTAGCTGACTGCCCTCATCATGTCGAAAGATGACAACAACTTGAGCCACAGCGTTTCTGTCAATTGACACTTTATATAGAAATATATATATATATGTGTAATATATGGTTATTGAATGTTATTGACAGAACCATTTGGATCATCTCAAACTGTTGGAAGAGCTGACCGTTTTTAGACCAAACCACTTAATATATCTTAATATGCTTTTGCCATGGTTGCCGCGGGCCTATGTCACACTGTGCTTCTCCGAAGTGATGGCACTGCGATGGTTTGCGGAAGTAACGAAAGCGGACAGTGCAACATTCCGCCGCTAGATGAAGGCATATCATACAGGCAGGCTTCTGCAGGGGATGGTCACACAGTGCTTCTCCGAAGTGATGGCATTGCTGTGGCTTGCGGAAGGAATGGAAGCGAACAATGCAGGATTCCACTGTTAGACGAAGGCATGTCATACACACAAGTTTCTGCAGGTTCCTTGCATACCGTGCTTCTGCGAAGTGATGGCACTGCGCTGGTTTGTGGTCGAAAGCATTTTGGGCAGAGTAACATTCCAACGTTAGATGAAGGCCTGTCATACACCCAGGTTTCTGCAGGTGATGGTCACACAGTGCTTCTACGAAGTGATGGCATGGCTGTGGCTTGCGGAAGAAACGGGAGCGGACAGTGCAATATTCCACCGTTAGATGAAGGTACGTCATACACCCAGGTTTCTGCAGGGGATGGTTACACAGTGCTTCTGCGCAGTGATGGCATGGCTGTGGCTTGCGGAAGAAACCGAAGTGAACAGTGCAATATTCCACCGTTGGATGAAGGCATGTCATACATCCAGGTTTCTGCATGCCACTTGCATACAGTCCTTCTGCGAAGTGATGACATGGTTGTGGCTTGCGGATACAATGAACAGGGACAGTGCAACATCCCCCCATTGCATGAAGGCATGTCATACACCCAGGTTTCCGCAGGCTCCTACCATACAGCGCTCCTCCGAAGTGATGGCATGGCTGTGGCTTGTGGATACAACGCATCTGGACAATGCAATATTCCATCTCCAAAGTCATGGCGTGAGTTCCTGAGTTTTGCGCCCGCAAGCCGTCCCTACATTCGGGATGATTGCAGGCCATGTGTCAAGGAACCTGTGCGTGTGTTGCAATTGGATTGTTTCTGCCAAGATGTCGCTGCATTCATTCTGACATGCTCCAGTTTGGCCGGGCATGAGGTGCTACGCTTTGGGGCAAGTGGTTCAGACCTCGCTTTGGATGCTCACAAGCATATTGCCCAGAAGTTGAATGCACAACTCCACAGGCTTGGAGTGGTGTTGCCTGATGGTCAGTTGTTGACCGCAGTCTACGAGACCAATCCCTTGGTCACAATCTCAGACTTGAGTGAAACTCGCAAGGCGCGGACCCGGCCTCAGCGAAGTGCCGAAGGCTGGAGCCTGCCATAAAATAATCATGTGGGAAGATGTGGGGAAATGATGCCTTAGGCATCTTTTTGCATCCCCAATTTTGAGACCCCAACTGTGTCCAGATCCAGACGTCAAAACGAATGCTCAGAGGTGTCCTTATTGTCCTTCAGATCCACTGGTGAATCAGTATTTATAGCAGCCCTGATCAAAGATGGAACAGTCTTTCCAGGATCGTGTAGATTATGGAAATACTTCATATTTCCATATATTTCCAGGTTTCTCATCGTTTTCCATCTTTTTGAGGTGGCTATATGTATATAACCAAAAAAACATATTTAAAAAAAACGCCCAGATTGAATGGGCATGCTTTTCGGAGACACCCAGATTGAATGGTTCAAACATATTCCTAGCAATAACCCCCAAGACCCCATCGTGGTTAAGGGATGGTTCAATGGTCATCCACCTGCCTCCAAGTTTCTGGTAACCCCCACGTAGTGTAGATGGTGACCTTTTACAATTCTCCCAGCATACATCATTTCCCACAATTATCCCATAATCATCCCATGATGTCCCATGAATATCAGTTCTTACCCATGAATTCATAAGCCCTTTATCTACCCGAAAAAACCCACGGGTGAGGCATGGAAGTGAAGGCCATTTGCGACCGCGGGGACAATGAGGCGACGAATTGTAAGTGAGTAGTGGGTCGTGTACTCTCTGGTAATTTAACATATAAGGTGGTGCCCCAGTGATGTTTGTTGGTTTATGAACCCCGTGAATAACTATGAATACTTGTTCGGTGATATATCCATCATAAACTATAGAATTCACCTACTAGTAGTTATAGAGGAACTATTAGCTAAGGAACTGGGGCGCCACCTTGTAGCTATGCAACATCACAATCTTTAATTAATAGGTGAGTAAATCATTTGCAAATGCACCGTTGTCCATTGCTATGTTAAATTACCCTTTTGGGATCCCTTGGGTGACATCAAACTTGTGGCAATAGAAATGGAGGGGTTACTTTTAAGTACAGTAGGGATTTAAGTGGGAAAAAACGATATTCATTGGAATAGAATGGGATAGTCAATCATGGCTGGGAAAGTGGAGGTGCTCATGGGAAGATCATCCGTACATGGTTGATTTTCCAGCACGTCATGTCATATGACACTAGATGTTGCCACATGTATGTATTGTTTTAGGTTGCCCCAGTACAACCTTTAATTACACAGATACATACAGATATGATATATATAATATATATATATATATACCTTCTGGTAATTTAACACAGCTATTGAAAATGGCCATTTATAGTTGAATTACCCATTCAAAATGGTGATTTTCCATGGCTATGTTAGTTTACCAGAGGGTATGACCCATATCCTTCGGTCAATTAGCTTAGCTCATGAAAAACCAATGGGTTTCCTGTCCGGAACCGATCTGTCAGACTGGTGGATGTCCATATTTTTGGGTACCAAACACTGTTTTTTTGTTGATGATCCGTTTTCGTTCAGCCTCCCAACTATGAACAAAAATGATAAAACTTCTAGTCTTGCATGAAATTATTTTTTGCCAGTTATGCATTATTTTTTGATATTTTTTGTTGCATCACTTGCGAAGTATCAGTGGGACACCCAAGTGGTAGGTGAACATGGTGAAAAGACTCGAAAAAAATGTCCGATTTATATATACCCTCCCAAAAAGATCGAAAAAAGGAACATCTTAAAATCCGATGGTTGATTTTTCTATGGTTTTTTGGGCTTGCTAAGGGTTGCTATACATCTCCTTCCCCGTTTTTGGGGCTCATCGGAGGCGGCGCCCAAGACGGACACGCAGACGCTGCTGTGGGTCCTGGGGGATGGTCCATCCGGCCCATCCACGCGGAGGCGGGTTGGAAACCACCAAGCAGATTGACATTGGAAACTTATAGAATACTTTCTTAATATTAATTCAAAACATATACATATATATATATATGTACTGTATTTTGCTACTGGCACTTTTGGGATTTTCGATGCGGCCAATGCAGAATCTGTACAGAAAGTTTAATAATAATGATAATAATAATAATCATAATAATAATGATAATAATAATAGTAATAATAATAATATATATATATATATACACGTGTGTGTGCATGTATGGATAGTATGTGTGATATAATTAAATATGCATGTATATGTATGTACATACGCATGTATGATTTATTTCTAAATGCATACGATAACACTTGGAATAATTGGGCGGAGTTTTTTTGTTCGTGCTAAATCATAGAGGGTTTCTCATATTCTGCTTAGGGAGGTCATGCTCAGACATGCTCAGACGAGCCATCCAGTAATCCACATGTGTCACTTCGCTAGTCCCCACTTCTGACAATGACGACGTTTGGGAAGTTGTTTGCATCAAAGTTGTTGATCGCGCCACGGCTGGCTTGCCATTTTAAGATTTTTCGCATATTAGTATCCTCCGGTGATTGGCTTGATAACAATACATGGCCGAACCAACTCAGGGTGAATGCAAAACATTGCAGATCATTGCAGTACAGGATCGTTTGACCGACGACATGGTTGAACCTGTCTCCTTTCTTTGAATAGGGCCATAGGGCCCCTGGTTTTTTCCTGGTTGTAAAGAGATAGGAGTTCATCTACTGCAACTGATAGTGACTGATAGTCTAGTGTGATTTAGATATTAGCCCATGATAATTTGATAAACTCCAAGAAGATTATGTTTTCGGTTTAGCGCATGTTCATCCCTTCAAACCAGTTATTTTTCCTTGGGAACGGCGGAAGATTGCACGGTCAGGGCACGAAAGAAACCCGGCATTCACGCTTCATGGACCGCCAGGCCGGCAGGGTTTTTTGTTGAAATGCTTCGTTTGTGGGTCATTCTGGTTGGTGGTTTGGAACATTTTTCCATAGATTGGGCATAATAATCCCAACTGACTTGCAGGCAGACCCATATTTCTTGCTAAGACTTGATGTGTTCATGTCTAAAAAGGGGGCTGGCTCAGCCCTGAGGGGTTATTTTGTGAGCATTTGCTAGTTGCTGGAACTAGCCAACATATCGCCATTCATATGCCTACTTCATGGGAACCACTTGGGTTGAGTTTTGAATGTCCTGTCCATCCAACAATGGGTTTACGGGAAACAGATGGGTTTCATCCAGGTTTTGTTGAATCGCTGGCCAGCGCCATGTTTCATGGTTTACATCTGAGAAGCTCAGCCAGAATGGCCTCCTTTCAAATGATTGGCATACCTGGTTTCCTTTCTTTATTAGATGAACCTGCTTGAATAGCCTATGTTTTTTCATGTGGAACACAGGCAGCAGGATGAGCCTCCTAGATTTGCACATGAGTTTGTAACTAAGGCAAAACATATTTGTGTTTTCATGATTTATCTATCGTCAAAATTTTAAAGTTAGAAATCAACTTAGAACTGTGGGTGCGTTCTCATTATTAATACCGGATTCGATTGTAGTCGTCATGATATACTGATATATCCATTTGAAGGTTTCCTGAAATGTGGATACCCCTAAATAATCCATTTTTATAGGATTGTCCCTTATAAACCATCCATTACTTGGGATTTTCCCATCGGAACCCCCCGCGCCCATTTCTGCGGCAAGGCATAGCAGTGCTGAGCCAATCCCGCCACATCTCTGGTTGCTCGGCCTCCGTTGCCGCGTTCAGTTGCCTCAAAAAAGTGGCTGAATGAACTATGGTTTATGGTACTTAAAACTATATTATGATTCTTTGGGGGAGAACTGGGAGAACCCCTAATTTTCATCAACCAATACAAGGTGGTGCCCCACTTCGTTAGCTAAGTTGGTTTATAACTCCAATAACTATGGTTTATGGTACCCTCTGGTTATGTCAAAATAGCTATTGAAAATGGCCATTGATAGTTGATTTTCCCATTAAACATGGTGGATCTTTCCATAGCAAACTGTTAGTTTACCAGAGGGTATGGTTTATGGTAGATAGATCAAATTATCAATACGCCAACTATGGTTTACAAACCAACTGATAACCATGGTATATTACCATAAACCATAATCTTATAACCAACTATGGTTTATGGATGTTTATGGTACTTATATGTACTTATAACTTATAACCATACTTATTGGGGTTTAGAAACCAATAAACATCACTGGGGGGGCACCACTTTGTATGAAAATGGATAGATGAGCATCCCCTAAGGATTGGGTGTATAGTCCATTTTCTGATCAAACCAAACCGGATCTTAAGGGTGAAATACCTGCCGGTTCGAACGGAAAATTCATCGATAAATGGAGGATTTGACATTGCCACGTTTGATTACAGGAGGGTAACCATCAAAACAATAGTGAGAAGAAAACAGTAAAAATGGGATAATAACGCATAAACAAGACATAATAGAGATATCATGGGATAAATAAATTGATGTGATAGTTGGCTCTGTCTGAAAATGACTCAGGGATTCACCATCATTTTGTTGGTGTATGTTGGTGTATGGTATCTTAAAACACATGCACCATATACCCGGCCTGGTAAACATACAAAAAACTATTAAAAAGCTATTGAACATGGCCATAGAAATAGTTGATTTACCCATGAAACATGGTGATTTTCGTTATAATAATTAATAAAGAGCATAGGGTGATTTAGCCTGGAAAGATGGCAGTGAATCTGTGGATCTTTTTTTACCAGCCAATTTGGGGATCAAAGAGGTGAGCTTGACCATGCAAAATATTGGATTTTGTTCAGCAGCAGACACCGGATTTTATTCCTCAAGAAACTGATGAGTGAACTGTGCCGCCTCCTGAATGGTATAGCTTGTTGGAGGAAATATGATTGATATCAAAAATCAACGTGCGTCATGGTTTGCGCTTCAAAGAGAAATGATATTGGAAATCCCCGATTTCAGCGAGTGATCATCAAATGTCATTTAAGCTGGTACTGTGGGGCACAAAGTGGTACCCATTTTCCATGCACGGTGTTTACTTTCCAATTTTAAGCAATAAGCAGAAGTATCGGAGAAAAGAAAGGCCTAATTCAATTGTGGCTTCCAAGTGGCTTCCAGAAACATAAAGCCCACCCTGTCCTTTTTCCTGCGGGTTGATGTCTAGAACACCCCTGTGTAACCAACAACCATTATGGGGACAAGCGATGTACATAAAACATCAAAAACATACGGCATACCAAAACCGTCTCAAACTTGTTCTCCTGAATCAGTCTTATACATCAATGATTTTACCCCAGTTTCCTGGATATGTCTCAGGATACAACCCAGTCATACCCAGTCATTGTTTGATTTTTCTCAGAAAATTTAAGTTATGCCTCTGGTTATAAGTGGGCCAATTTTTCCATGTTTCTTGGGCATAAGGAAGTCTGCATCACCCACGGTTCGTTGGATGAAGCACCAGATATCCATTGACTTCACCAAACTGAACTTTTCGATGCCATACTTTTGCATATACGTTTCTAGCCATAGAGTAGGCCATCAAAGAAAAAGCAGCAAAAGTCAGAAAACATTTACTGCGATCTTATTTGGAATTTTAGCATATTTTACCACTCATTTACCCTCAGGTGTCATCATGCCGCTGCTAGATACCGAAGAAACATCATGGAACTAGATGGTGGGTATGGTTCAGTTAGCCCATGATTGATGATCCAATTGAATGTTCCCATGAGATCCTTATTTGTTGATAGTACAACCTCCATTTTCAGTTTGCCATAAATGGTAAACTCTCCGTTAGTTGTGATGTATGGTTGATATATTTATCAGGCCATATTACTTGTACTATAATACTGGCTTTGTTCAAGGTGATTTCTTTACCGTCCCCATTGGGAAATACACTATTTTGGAGAATCCATAGGGATGATCTTTGGCTCCAAGTCATGGTGTTCTGCTTTACAGTTATAAGTTGTTTTATATACCATAGTAAGTATTTGAATGTATTTGATATATCTACCATAAACCATAGTTATTGGAGTTATAAACCAACTTAGCTATATGACTATGGGGCACCACCTTGTATGTTTGATGTTCCACGGGTACCCCTCCCAGGAGTCACCATGGTGGCTACGTCACGCCTCCCTCGGCTCATCGCGGAGGTCCTCCCAGCCGGGAGGTGTGCCATGAACGAGCCACGCGGGCGGCAAGCGGTCGGGGGGGTCCTTGGGGAGACCTTCAAACCGATGGTTTCTAATGGAAAAACGTATTAAAAATGGATGATAACTAGGGGTACCATTAAAAAAAAACAGGAAAACTCATATGAACCATGGTGCTGAAAAAATTATCAACCCAGTACCCAGTTTTTTTCTATGATTTATCACCCAGTTTGATAGGTAAATATACCAGACATGCAGGAGTTGGGATGGATTATCATCATCGACAAAAGGGACTTGACTTGACTTACTGTAAATTGACTTAACTTGACTTAATGGCGTAACTATTCAAAAATCGCCGCTCTTTTCGGGGTGGCTGGTGAATTATGAATTATATTGAATTATGACATATATATATATACACATATAGTATAATATAATTTAATAATTCATCTAGTTCGATGGACTAGCCATGAAAAGCAGGGGTCCTAGCGAACCAACACATACGAGATCTGATATGTTGTGGTCATTGACATTGGATGGAAAGTTTCAAACACATTAGAACACAAACCAGTAGTTATCCTCTAAATGGTGAAACTTGTAGTATCTCAGCCCATCAAAGTTTTGGGTTAACTCGGTTAACTCTGGTCGACTTGCCAAGTTTTGCTAAGATCCACAGCCCACAGCTAGCTGGCAGCTGGTTTATTTCACTTGGCTAAGCATTGGATTGTTACAGATCTATCTATGGCTAGATGAGTTCAGAAAACAACCGAGACAACTGGGATGGGGGGTCTTCTTGGTTGCGATGGATGCTCCCTTCGATCTATGATTCATCTTGCGTTCCCAAAAGCTTAGAGTTTTGCTTGGCATGGTTTTTTTTTTTTTAATACCCCTTCCAGCAAAGCTTCTAGCACATGCATGTTCTTTGTTGCACAGCGTTGCAGCGTTCCCCGAGGTCCGCAAATCCATTGTCCGCGCCAAGTCCAGATGTAGGCAGGGCGAATCATCCGACTGACGTCCATGGTAGGTTTACTTCAAGGCTGTGCTTTAGGTTTGCTTAAGGTAGGGCCAGGTAGGGTAAATTAACATAAATTAACATAAATTAACATGAAAACAGACGGATGATATCCATCGATATCCCAAATCTCAGATTTGAATCATTTACTTTGACCACGAAGCATTGCTTGGTGCCTTGATCACTCATTCCTTAGCGATCAAAGCTGGCACATCCAAGACCCTGGGCGCTGATTTTCTCACCTGACGTTGCCACGGATCCCGGATTAACCCACCAAGTCACCATTGGTGAAGCGCAGGACACCGGTCATTGCTTGGGCCCAGAAGCAGCTGAAGCAAGAAGAGGACATCATGCCTTGATTATGATTCCGGAAAGACCATGGAAAGCAAGAAAAAACCCATGGCTATGGGTCAAGACCAATTTCTTTGATTTTCTTTGTTGGGATCAACATCCATTTATGAAATTTATGAGCTATTTTGATCTTCACCAGGTCACTTCACCAGGTCACTATGGGATGGGATTTTGACCCATCGCCGGGATGCCGGCATCCCCAAAGGCCTAAAATTGTGCCACCACACCTCGAGGACTCCATCAAACTGCTTTCCGTTTATAGAGTTCGATGATTTTTTTTCCAGCTATAACCTCCATTTAGTTCGGGGATTCCCAGAGGGTACCACTTTATTGCACAATTGGTTGCACATACATGTCCCATAAGAATATCCAACACCAATGTGGAAGAAAACATCGATAGTGTTCATAAGACTAATTTTCATAATGATTCACAATCTATGCCCCTATCATTTAAAAAATGAAAAAAGTAATGTCCAAAAAGATGGAAAACGCATGAACAGGTTCAATGCATCTAGTTTAGATTCTGATGTTGCATGTCACCCTTTTTTGTGTGGAGGTTTCCTAGAAAAGGAGTACCCCTAAATTAATCCCAAATCAGACCACTTTAGGATATTTTAGTACTGAAACCTATATGGTTTTGGGCATCATCCATTTGAAGAAACCCCTAATATGGCCAAATGGTATCTAATATTCTATCTCAATCTAGTTTCGAAATTCAAATCAGTATATATATATATATCTATATATATATATAATAACTATAGCCTAGATCATTATCATAGTTATTATATTATATGTTATTATATGTTATCATATAGTATATCCATATATTGTACATACAACAACATATGATAGCATTATCTATAGCTATATCCATCTATGCCCTCCTCGATGTTTGCCAGGAATGGATCCGTTCAAAGCTGCGGGAGGAAATGGACGAGGAGGGCTGCATCGTGGCTCGGTGTTGATTTTGCAGGGAAAGCATGGCAAGTTATACATGCACGTTATTTATATATATACATTATATATATAGTACATATTTAACATGTATAATATATATATATATACTTGGATATTTATTTTTTCTGTAGGTATGAAATATATGACATATATGTAATATTTGTGATTTTTATATATATATATATGCATACCTAGGCCCTCCAATCAGCCATAAGAATGTGTAAACATCCTAAAATTGCGGGGCTAAAGACAGGTTGGGTGGCCCACCAGGCTGGATCACCAGAGGTTGAACAATTGCTTTCGGAAGGGGTGGTAGAAACTCGGAAATGGCCGGAAAAAGTCCTGAAAAGGACACAAGTACAGCTTTCTTCCCTAGTTTGACGTGGTGTCTTCAAAAAATCCTGAGAATCTTGAAAAGTTAGTTTGATGTTCTTTTTCCCTTCCCTTTTGGGATAGGGCCAACACGAGTTGGCTAATATTGTGCGGTGAATCAAGAATGGGGGCATCGGAACAAAAATGGTATGGGTGCAGGCGTTTGATTCATTCATCCCCGCTTGCCCTGACGAAATGTTGATTGCTCCAATGGAGCCTCAGTGAGGGATGCTTTGCATCCCCGGTTCTGGTAGGAATCCCTATTTGGGTTTTTATATTCTAATGGTGGTGAGCCCTCCCGAAATCGCTGACGTTTTTGTACCTCTGGCTCTGGTGGGAACATCAGAACATCATCGAGCCAAGCGGGGGATTTTCCAGCTACCCTCTTGGTAATTTCACATAGCTGTTGAACATGGTCCATTTGTTGTTGATTTCCCAGTTCGCAAACTGCTGGCTTACCAGCGAGTAATATATATATATATATATTCATTCATATCCATCAACATGTGGTTATTAATATCTTCATTCATATCCCATGCATGAATATCCAATTATTCCATGAATATGCCATATATTATTATCCAATTCTTCCATAGTATGTATTCCATATTCATATCCCATTAAATTATTAATCCCATTGCTATACCATGGGACTGCCAATTGTTATCCCATTTGTAGTATATTAGTATTAGTATTCATATCCGATTATTCAATTAGTCCCATGTTTATCCCATTATTATATTATCATATTAATATCCCGTTATTCATATCATGTCATATCCCACAGTTTTACCATTCATAACCATATAATGGGATGTTGAATATCGACTTAGTCCATTAACCATTAATATCCCATGAATATTCATATCCCCTTATTATTCATTTCAATTAGTCCATAAATATCCCATGTTTTTTTTCTCACCGGAGCGGTTACCTTTAAGGATATTGACCTCATGGGTGGCAGATGATCCTTGGGAAGCAACGACGGTCGGATGGCTAGTTTCTTTTTTTTGTGCCGGGCTTACAATGCATGGGAGTTGACCATGTGTTGGTACGTTGCATATAGATAGATTGGATTGGATTGGAATAGATTAGATATACTCTCCAGTAAACTAACATAGATTCCATAGATGTGGAAAAACCACCATTGGTAGATGGTTTCCCGAAGGAAACCTTTCGTTTTTTTGGTCCAAATCTATGTGAGTTTACCCTACGGGAGCCATGTCTGGGCTCACTGCATCACGGTTCACAGAATTGGATGAAAAATCTGCAGGACCCGTCACCCCTGACTTATGTTTGTTGGTTTATAAACTGCATCAACCATAGATATCCACAAACTCACCAATGAAATATGAGTGAAACCAATGTCACCAGCATTTATCAATATTTTATCACACATAAAGCGTTAAAAGGTGTTGGAGACATTCAATTTTGTACCAATTGTATCACAATTATCAATTTATTGATTTATTAATTTTATTTGTCACATTTATCATTTTTTTTCACCAGTTTGGTGTTGGTTAAATCCTGCTTTTCCCATCAGCGGGACCCATCCCACTGAGACCCGAGGCTCGTTGCTGGGCCGCAGCCGTGGCTTCCGCTGCGTGGACCATGGCGCTGTGTCTGGGAGATCAACGGAGCGCGCGCTCTCCGGGGAGCGCAACGGAGATCCATAGGTGACATGGGGATTTACCCTTTGGTTATGTCAAAATAGCTATTGAAAATAGCCCATTCATTTAGTTCGTTGATTTTCCCATTAAAAATGGTGGATCTTTCCATAGCAAACTGTTAGTTTACCATAGGATTTTCCATAAAATGGTAACCATTGAACTAACCAAATTTATAGGGGATTTTCCCATTAAAACAAACACTAAGACCTGGATGATGAACTTCAGCTTAGTGAAAAACTTGTACTCGACCCAGATCATGAACGGAATTATAAGTTGAATCTTCTATTATGGAATCATTCATGGGGATTTCACCAACCATTACCCTTCGGTATTCAAGCATGGCAACAGGGTCCATCTTTCCGAATGATTTATATAGTTTCAACATTAATTTACAGGTGATTGTCCCATTAAGACCTTCATTAAGACATTCATTACTTTTGGATTAGTGAATTATTGTAGCCCAGATTGTTGGGATGTTGAGGTTATCAATATGCCATTGCCCTATGATATGAAATATTCACATATAAATCCATGAACCTGGCCATATCAATCCATTAACATATTCAGGTTGCTTGCCGAGGAAAAAACCGCCCTTAGGGAGATAATGGGTGGGATTGAAAGCATCAATCTATATGGGCTGTTTTTATTGCATTGCTGTACTAAAAATTCTTATAGCCTCTGGTAATCAAGCATGGCAATGGAGAATCCTCCAGTTTTTATAGATGATTTTCCCAGCACCAAACCTCCATTGAGCTCAGGGATTTTCAATTGCCATGTTACCAGAGGGCATTGGGATTTGTAAAGCCACCAGCATTGGGATGTATAGCCACAAAATAGGTTGTATCAACCATGGCCATGGTAAATTGTGAGAAGATACATTGTTGGAGATCAAAATGATCCATGAACAAAATCATGTTCTTGATTGGTCATGAAGTAGTGAGTTCTACTATTTGGTTCATTGGGGATTGTGAATTGATTAGTAGATTAACAATCAACCAACAACAAGTAGCTCTAGTTTTAGTGGCTGATGATAATATCTAATAGTAGTTGAATAGCAATATATTAGTGGAACAGCTCACTAATTGTATAGTAATATGTAGTAATATTCCCATCGAATCCCCAAGAGTAGTTGAATCGCTCACTCATATGATCCATGGCAGTTCCCAGCCAGGGAACTAGCTCTTATTGGGATACAAAAAATCTAACCAGGATGGGATATGCAACCAACAATATATGGTTAATCAATATGTATTTAGATGTTACACACATGTATATATATATACATAATTATATAGACATACACACACATAATCACATATATATATATATACATCATTTAAGATGTGTATGTATATTGCATTCGAGATTCATTCCGCTTGGTGATCTAATCTAGCCATTTAACATAGCCATGTTTGATAGGTAATTCATCTACAAGAGTGCTGGTCAATGCCTAGGTTAAATTACCAGCAAGTATACCGTTGGAGATCCATACAAGCGATTTAAGATACCTCCGCTGATGGCTTAATATTTGGGGCTATGCTAACTGGCTTATTGAGGATTATCATAACCAATCAGGATTTTGTTCATGGTTCACATATTGTTTCTTTATATCTGGATTTTTTTTGGAAACGAAGAAGGGGACCTTAGACCATCAAAAGTGGTGGTGTTACCCATAGATTTGAGCCCAGGAATTGGAGGATTGCTGATGACCCAGTGAAGGGATGGGTCCCAGTGAAGGGGCACTGATGAATCAATGGCCAACCGCCGCAATAGACATGATGTTTTTTTGTGCATGTGATTTGCACTGGTAAATTTACTACGTATAGGTGATTTGTGAGAAAAAAAAAAGTGGTGATTTGCCATTACGCTGTGAAATCCGGCAAAACTGAGTGGCATTCAGCCATGCACAGCATTTCCTTAGTTGTTCAGGACTCTTCTCCTGGTTTTATTGAGATTCACCTTATCGCATCCACAAAGTACCGAGAAACAGCCAGCGTTTACCATGTAAAGCGGGACCCATGACCCACACCCGAGGACAGATATGAAACGCTGGCGGACAAGGCTCTTTCCCTCCAACTGGGTGGCGTCGAAACAAGACAGCGCCTGGACCAACGGAGACTCGGCAGGTGTCTTTTGGTGCTGGTAAATACAATAATGTGGGTAAAACAATGCCATAAACAACCAAAAAATGCCTGGGAATGGTAAACATACACCCTATAAGCATGTTGATGACTGGGGGATGGTTTATGATTGTTTTACCAACATTAATATGAATAATGCAATGAACATGCTGCCCATGGTAGTTGAGATATAATGATCATATTCAAGAGCATAGAGATAAACAATGATAAACACAAGCAAAACAATAACATCAATAATGACTATCAGGATCATGACCATGATGATGATCATGGTGATGCAGTGATGGTACACTCATGCGGTGATGGAATCGCTTGGGGAGTGGTGGGATGGGCTCAAGTCAGTTCCAACAGCCAGTTGCAAGTGTGAACCAAAGCCTAGTAACTAACTACAGCTACCATAAATCCATACTATAGATCCGTATAAATCCATATAAGTACTCGTTAATCTACCTACAAAATCTTACAAACCAATTTTCAGTACCGGCTGAGTCACCATGGTTGATAGGCAAGTCATGTCAGGTCCCGATTGTTGCTGAAATCCCACGATTGCCACCCGGCGATCAGGAAACGAGAGCTGAAGGAGAAGCAGGTCATGGCCAGGATGAACGAATCCAAGAAGGAGGCCGTCAAAGACGTGGCTCCTCGCAAAAAACGTTTTAATCGCCAGGATGAGAACGGACGAACGGACTGGGATACTATCTCTCGTCAGGTTTGTATCTTTGTGGCATGTGTATATATATATATATATATATATTTGTATATATACATATAATTATATATTGCATGTGTATATATATACATATTTGCGTGTGCTATATATAATTTTGAATATACATATAAATCTAAATATATCTATTCAGATGCATATAGTACACATGATTATATGCATGCAGGTCTTGTTTAGTTTCAGAATATTTCTATTCATGGATGTTTATTTCGTTTTCACACACCAATCACGTTGCATCACATTGCATCACTTCACATCACATCATATATCATGTTACCTTACATTTGTATGACATTCCGTTACATCACACTACCCTCCACTACACCGCATTACATACTACATTACATGCATACGTATGTGTATCTAATAAATTATGTATGTTTTGCTGTGTGTGTGATAGTGGCTCAGCCATAGGAATGCTTAGTGAATCGTTCGGTCCCTGCACAAGCCTGTTCCTGTGTATCATGAGAATCGGGTTTGTCCCGACCAGTAATTCACTACCTTTTCTCATTTCCTTTTGAATGCAATACTAAACCCATCACCAACTATATACTATGCAATTTCATCCCAGTGATTAGTGATTGTTGTGTCATGTTTTTCAGAACTTGGGATGTTGGTAAAGGAAATAAGGTGATATCCACACATGCATGCATATACTTTTTTTCCACGCATCCTGCGGGTATTGTCAACCGTTGCAACACCAACGGGTCTACACACCTTAAAGTAGTAATTACTGGCAATAGCTTGTATTTAGAGAGGGAGAGATTTAGAAATAGCTCAACAGTTCGAAAGGTAGATTGATGGAATAGAGAAAACCAGAGTAGAATAATTAGATAGATGGGGTATGATGGAGCTGATAACAAAGCAGCCAACCGCACCACAAATCATTTGAACGATTTCCTAAGGTTCAATGCATTTGTTTAAAGGAACATCTACAACTGGTTGGTGGTTTGGAACATTTTTTATTTTCCATATATTGGGAATAATCATCCCAACTGACTTTCATATGTTTCAGAGGGATAGGTCAACCACCAACCAGACAAGAAGCCATAGATTTTCCTTAAGCCAATCCGTTCCTAGATAGTACATATCCAGTTTTGCCCTCAGTTTTGTTCCTCATCTTCTGAAAGATATATCCACTGTGAATTTGACATCCTAGCGAAACAAACCAATAGAAACCCATCATCAACCTCATCTCAATCCATTTGTGTGCTGCAATTCCCTTTGATAGGCTACTGAAGTCCCTATTTTTGATTTGTTTTTGTTTTTTTTTTTAACACCCCATTTGCCAAAACAAAAAACTATTGCACTAGTGTTTATTTATTTAGGGTAACATGCCCATTTCACGAGGGTTAAACCATGTTTCTTTTGAAAAAAAACATGCCTGAAAAGGGTTAAGTCCCTGTTGATGGTTATACCGTCCGGTGATCAAACGTGGCAATGGAAAATTACCCATTTATAGATGATTGATTGATTTTCCCATTAAAACCTTCATTCGTAGCGGATGTCCCAGCCAGCTACGTTTGATTAGCGGAGGATATATCCCATCCCCTATTCATATATACCTCCTCCAGGATGGTCCCACATATACTGCATGTAAATCCCGTACGCAGCCATGGTTTCTGAGTTGTTTTTGATTATAAATAGTTATTCCCATATGCCCCATAATTATTACAAGCATATATGCCATTAATCAGTGGTCATTTCAGGAACCTAAATTGGAGGTACCTACCACATATAAGGTTTATGCAAGGGCTCCTGAAATGGCCATTGATATAATAACTAGGATTTATGATGGATATTGAGCAAGTGGGAACCATCACCAATGTGTTTTCTCAGTCCACCGTTTGGATCGATCATGGTATCACCTTTTTGTTCTTGGTTATAAACCAACATATTTCATTATCCCTTATCAATGGAATTTGGGAATGAACAGAAATAATATCGGCATACACGATTATCGCGATGTTCCCGTATCCCCTATGTATAGTTATAATAGGGATATATCCCGTATACAACCAATATATATATATATTATAATTATTATAGTTTGCAATATCTAGTTATTATAGTTTGCTGTATAAATTATATATATAGTCATATCCGGTAATAGCCAGGATTACATGTTCTTAATCCAAGATACCCTTAGTAGTAATGTATACATTGGATATTACTATGATAGTATATTATGTATTGGCGATGTTCCCATGAAGTAATCATGTTGATCAATGCAGCTAAGGAGAGCGTAGCCAATCGCCGCCGCGCCGCCGACATTTTGTCAGAACTGTGGCTGGGTGTCAGGATGATCCTGGAAGAATGATGTTTTTTATGTTTTTTTTTTTAATTATTATGCGGATATTATCGTAGATTTGCATCGATTTACCATATTTCGGTGGAGCCATAATTTTCCAGGTTAAAAAAAAGGCCAACCTTGGTTAGATACGAAGTAGTACTTGAATCTTCTGCTATGGTAAAATGTACGAACCAGCTAAAGATTATATTTGTTTCTGGCAGGTATCTAAGATGCACCATGTAATGGGGATAGAATGAGGATATCATAGCGGATATGCCAGATTCAGGTTGAAAAGTTCTTCAACATTCTTCAACCTCGAAGTCATGGCAGGGTCGATGTTAGTTAGTTTATTGGAGGGTAGCAATTTTAGTTTTACCCTCTGGTAAATTAACATAGACCCTGAAAATAACCCATTCTTATTGGAAACTAGTCTTCCAACCCCTATGACTGCCAGGGTCAAACTGTTAATTTACTGGCGGGTACTTGTTGTTTTTTGGAAGGGCTGGCGGGGATGCAACGGGATAAAGGCTGAGAATTCCCATATTTTTCTGTGTCGTCCTGATTAGTGTAAGGCCCCTCCCCCACAAAAGCTATATATAGCTATAGCCTCTTTAAAGTTGGGTGCCAAAAAGTTGTGTCCCAGAAAAGAAAACGCACTTAAGTATACTTAAGTAAGGATTTCAACTGGCCACAATTGAAATCTAATTAAAGCTGTTTTTTTGCCGATGAACTTGTAGTACTTGGAGTACCTGTAGTATTTGTAGTAGTTTTAGTAGTTGTGGTATGTGTAGTACTTGTAGTAATTACTTGTAATTAGTATTTAGTATTTGTAGTATGTTTAGTACCTGAGCTCAGCTTACCTGAGCAAAAGCTTGACTGAGCCACAGCGTTTTTGAAAAAAGAGTCTGCCTCAGTAATTACATGTTGTTGTTTTTTCCCAAAAACAAATGGTCTCCCAAGATTTCTTGCCACAATAGTGAACCTTCCCAACAATGCATGGGTTCAGAATAATTTGTTGTTTTTTGCACAATAGCGAACCTAGCCACTAATCAGGATACAACATTACTAGGAGAAAAGCCATGAAGATAGGGACTTTCCAAGGTCTTTATATATAAGGATTTTATAAGGACTTGATTGGGATGTTGTATGAATATCTAATGGCATACAACAATTTTGAGTATGCGGCAAATGTTTCTTGAATTAGATGCAATGGACATAATGATATAATGGGATATCGTGGGACTTCATTGGATACAACCATCAACAAAGAGAGATGAAAGTGATGAAAGCAGCCAAAAATGAAGATTTTGCCTTCCTTACTTTGCATCTGAACCACTATCGCCTGGACCTTTGTGCTGGTTGCGGCCATGCCCCGGGGTCTTAGTCGCGGCCAATCGCGACTGGTCCCAGGCATAAGCGAACTCTCTTCGCGGAACTGGCCAGCAAGCGAGAATCGCAGGTTGGGCATTTGCAGGTCTGGTTCCATATGACTTATTTGATTTTTGAGGGATGATATATCTATAGTTACTTAAAGGTTTATACCCTAGTATTTACCATAGATATGTCCCTTAATTTACACAGATAGTTACTATAATCCATCAATTGGGATAAATCCATGATATAATCCATGATATAAACCACAGTTACCCTCTGGTAATTTGTTGCATTTGCGAACTGGAAGCTATGGCCATGGCCCATTTAGTTCCTTCATTTACCGAACTTGAAGATGGTGATTTTCCAGTTCGCTATGTTAGTTTACCAGAGGGCAGGGGGATCATGATTAGTGAACCACACGTATGAACAATATGATATCATAGTATTAAGTAAATATTATGCATTATTGTTAGTAGTTTTGGGGTATGATTTAATAATAGTGGGAGAATATATAATTATATCGTAATCCGTGGAGAATATATTATTATATCGTAATCCGTAATAGTTGGTTAATTATTGAAAAATAATGGGGATTATAAAATTGGTTGCTGGTTTAAAACTGTATTGTAAAAAAAATATGTACGAAAGGGATGATTGGTTCTGATGACGGGTTATTGCTGGGATGGGCCTGGGTCAAGATTGTTCAAGTGTGACTCACGTCACATGGTGGGCTGTGGGGAAGTAATCCAATAAGAGATAGTATCATCACATCATGTGGTACGCGCAAAGGTAAACAATCCTAATTTTACCAGACATGTGACATGGGTGGTTGTGTGTATCAACCTTTCCATTTGGAGATTTATTCTTGGGTTTACTCGCTTGTAAACTGCCAAAATCCACCGTTTCTAGAAGAACATGTCCCTGAGTTGTTCCCATGGATTTTCCATATCTAATATGGTCGTTTTACCCGTTGAGCATCGTTTAGCTCAGGGTGAGTTCCCATGAATTTTCCAGAAACCTCCTGGGCGCCCAGCGGTGCCTTTCTCGGCCAGGAGCATGAAGCTCAGCAAGCCGCTTCCGCTGCTGTCGGACATGTGGTGCAGGAGGTGCTGTTCCTCCAGTGAAATGGTGATGTAAAGTTTCATCACCGCAGAAATACTTTTTTTTAACAGGAAGGGCCCCCCCTAGATAGCTACTGGGTAAGTTGGTTATTTACATATAATTAACTAACTATAATAACTATAGGATTTATGATGGCTATATCGATAGTTCGATGGGGTCATAAAGCAACTTCCAACTTGGGGGCCACCTTCCTGTAGGGATATAATGGGATTTTACAATGGGATAATGTGGAATAACATGGAATATCATAGGGATAATACAGAGTTTTGATGAGGATATAACTGATATAACTTATATAATAGATTATAATAGCTGATATAACCATCAACACTGGGGACTTAAGCATAAAAAAACGATGCGTTCACCTGGTGAAATGTTTGTTAGATTATAATAACGAACATAACTCTCTGGTTTATGATCAATACATGTATATGTATACATATTATATAGTGTCAATGTTTTTTGCACCAACTTAAGATTGTTTGTTGGTTCCACCTACTGTATGTATGGAAGTATCCACCATCTTGTCGCACTCGCCAATCTACTGAAAGCCAACTTTCGCCCAAACATGGAGATAGTCTGAGATAGTTGATCATAACAGGGGAACCCTGGGTAGTTTAGTTCACAGTATTTTTTCCATGCTGTGAATACTGATAGATAGGTACTAACCAGCTAAACTGATTGTTGTTCAGGGCATCTAAGATTAGCCATGTAAGTGAATGTGTTTAAGACCATAAAAAAGTTGGTTTGTGGGTATCGCGGTGTAGGTCCACATTGGAGCACTTAAGAATGGATGGTACTGTAAATATTTAATTACCCAAATTTGCGGTCCACTTATGACTTATTTTTTGACCCATAACTATACGAAGGAATTTTTATAGATACCAAGCTCCACTTTTTTAGGCAGCCACATTCTGCCTCCAAGCTCAGAAATCTAGGGCCCATTTCCGCCCACTTCAGTCCCCTCCTGTCACCAGGAAAAAACCACTGTGATGGAGGACATGGGACTAATCTGTTGAGGTGATGCCCTGGGCACGCTTCACAAAAGCGTTTTGGGGATTTGAATGTCGTTGATTGATGTTAAAGTAAATCACTATAAAATTATAAAACTACATATAGTGAAATTTGATAAAGTGAAATGATATAATGATTGATATAGTGAAATTAATGTACTTAGGTTTATTTCACTATATATTTCACTGTTAGGTTTGTGGTTGGTGGAAACAGTTCCATTGCCAACATCCACAGCGTAAACCAAACTTGAGCTGCCACATCCCTGGCGCCAGTTTGGCCGGGAGATTTGGTGCCGATAACGATATTTCTGCTAGAGAATACCTTTTAACCAATACTGGTTGGTGGTTGGTGGTTAATCAACATAAATGGGTTTCTATATGCTTCTATAATCAACATATATAACTGGATGGTGGTTTGGAACATGACTGGATTATGACTTTCCATATATTGGGAATGTCATCATCCCAACTGACGAACTCATATTTTTCAGAGGGGTAGGTATACCACCAACCAGTTTCGGTTATTTAACGGATTTAACTTAGCTATGGAAAATCACCCGGTTTTAATAGACAATAATAGGCATATACATCCTCTATAAATGAACCATTTTCCATAGCTATGTTAAATAACCAGAGGGTAACGATAACGATGTCCGTCTCTTGGTGGTTCATTCATATCATTTTTTCCGTCCATAAAGCAAAAGGGATGGCGACAGGGAGTGTTTTTTTTCATGTTTTTCCACATTTCTGGGATGGGTTAAATCTCTAGTCTAGTCCGAAACCACTCGCCACTTCGAAACCATGCAATTCTGGTGACCCCATGACCTATCCCACGAACCAGCTGCAGTACAGGGGGATGATGCTTGAAGATTATCCTTGACGTAACAGGGTTGCTCCAACCCCTACAGAGTTATCACCCACTTAACGATTCTTGGGATGCACAGCCAAGTAGACATACAACAAGTCTTCTCATACCCCCTACTAACTAATCAAACGATGAAATTCCCATGCGTCTTTGCCATATTTTCCCATGATTTCCCCATATTTTCCTAGGGATCTCCCATGTAACTTTGGGAAAGCTTGGTCCAGGAGGAAAGTGAAGTGCAGCCGGAGCAAAGTCGGGGCAGCAAGCCTCGATGCTCGGCTGTTTTAGTTGAGCAAATCATAGCATTTGTGGATCATTGGTACTTGGTGGCTCATTCCACTCACTCAATGGGAGTTTCAGGATCCTAAAATGGAGGTACATTAGTCCCATATTTCTGGCCATATGAATTGTGGGGATATCCCCTTACATAGGCCTGAAAAATAGGCCTTATATATGGTAGGTACCTCCAATTTAGGTTCCTGAAATGGCCGTTGAATCAAGTAGGTTATACCCCCAATCATAAGTAGATTACTAAGTCATGCTATAATGTTTTGGATGATTTGGGGTACCACTATCTCAGGAAACCACCATATTGGAACACACACACACACACACATATATATGTACATATGTGTATAATAGGGATACAAAATAGGCTTCTCAGTGTTATTGTGGATCATATTAGGTCACTCAACAATGCTTAATGGCTCAGACTCATATGGCATTGTTTGCAAGTAAATAGGTGCCTCAGATTCTCAACGTTGATCGTGAACTAAATCCATGGAAACTTGCGCCATCAGATCATAGGGGTTGTAACCAGCTGATTCGGGAATGACCTAGTGTGGACGGAAGAAATCCTGCACGGTCAATGGTAGATGGTTTATTCATGTTTATCTCGTAATCCCATTAGTTGCAGTGGTTCATATAGCAATGGCAGTTAAATAGTTACTGATGAACCGTCTACCAATTGGGATAACTATTGGATTTGGGATAAACCATCTACCTATCATTATTTGCCAATAGTTGCCGAGTTACCGATGAAGGATTTCTTCCATCAGTTGGTATTTTTTAGGCGACCCCTGCGACTCGGCAAACCTGACTTGACAGCCGGTTCACCAGAAGAGAGTCATTTTCTTCACCAGACGAAGGTGGCAACACATGTCTTTTTTTTCAGGGAAAGATGATGATTTCTGATTGCCAGAGTAGACTAGCTAAAGGTACGATCTGCAGAATGTTTTGTTTTTTGGCGCCTCTGAATGGTCAGACTTCCATCATACTCCATTTCATTCATCCATTACTCTATGAATGACCGATCCTTCACCTCAAAACGCAGAGTCAATAATTACAGCCCTCATGGCTTCTAACTGGATAAACATGCACTGTGAAGTATGAAGTTACCCTTGGGTCCATAAATTTGTGGCTTGTTTGTTTTGTTTTTTTTTTGGTACCAAAACTGGGTACATGATCACCTGTTTTTGAGCAACCAAAATCATATTGCAACAGCTGGATTGTGTTCTTATCCAACTGTTACTTCCTACTGGGTTGGTCGATATATACCCTCTGGTAATTTAACATAGCTATTGAAAATACCCCATTTATAGTTGATTTACCCATTAGAAATGGTGATGTTCAACAGCTATGTTAGTTTACCAGAGGGTAGTTCTCCCAATTTTTAACGGTGTATTATACGTGCACCTAAAAGTGTCCTGAAAAACATGGCATGATGCCATGGCAACCTCAAAAAAGATTCAGAACAGTGTCACGGCGTGATAGCGATAGCAGGACAATACAACTGTTTGTTTTTTATTGTATGCGTTTGTTTTTGAAATATTGTCCTAAATCAGGAGCTTAAAAAGTTATGTATCCTAAATGATCCTTGTCCTTATACGTTTTTCCTGATCAGATATGTTTTTAATAGTTTTATATCCAGTTAGGAATTTACCAAGCGGAAGACACAAAAAAGAACATATGTTTGGTTCTTACTAAAGAATAATGATTGCTATAATTATACGTCAGTGGGATTATCTTATCATTAGCAACACTTTTAATGCTGATTAGTTCTTCTGTGTTTCTGCTGTTACGGTCACAAATTGAATTTTTGGATCGCATTGTTCCACAGGTCACACGCGGGTCACGCTGGCCCTGAACTCGCCCCCCAAACAGAACCTCAGCACCGAAGTGGTGCGAGTCACCGTAGCCTGGACCGAAATGGCGGTAGTCAGCGCTGGTCGTGGGGCGTTGATGTTGGGATGGCATAGTGCATACATGCAGATATGCAATATTATGCAATGATATGCATCCACACATATATATATATATATATATGCATATATATCAGATAGATAGATAGATGGATGGATGGATGGATGGATAGATAGATAGATAGATTGGATAGATTAGATCGATAGATAGATAGATAGATAGATAAACAGATAGATAAACAGATAAATAAACAGATAGATAGACAAATAGACAGATAGACAGATAGACAGATAGACAGATACATGATACACACTGCATATATATAATATAATATATATATATATATATACATATGTGTATTATATAAGGGGTTCAGATGATCCTAGCCGCTTTTGTTGACCTTAGACACAGTGACAGTATGGATGCGGCATTGTGTTACTGGATAAGACCGTTTTGGCGGTATCCAGTTTCACCCATACACGTAGCCATATAAAGAAGGTAAAGGAAGGCGAGCGTCAGGGAGGTCAAACACATACAATGCTGAGTTTCAGGATGTTGTAGGTAAAATTATATATGTTATATATACAATATATATATATTATATATATACACATGTTTAATCATTCTCTGTGCGCTACTTGTCATGAAAAAAATCCCCCGTTGCTTAGATAGCATGTTTCAACGGTTGAATCCAGGGTTCTGAAAAAAATCGTGGCCCAGGAGTACAAAGACCCGCAGTTGATCTATACCGTATTTGTTTGTACACCCCAAAAAAAAACGCTACCTACGATCAACATCCTGTTGATCGTGCTTTGCTATCTCTTTGATACAGTACCAAAGTATGATTTGTTAATCTGGTTTTGAACAAATCAGTTGAATATGTCAATTCCTGGGTCAGAAAGGATGATGTTCTTTAACTGACACCATTTTGTGATGGTCAGAATATGTCACCATGACATACCGCATGGGGCCAGGAATCTCAGTCACCAAGTTTAGACTAGTTTGATATAATTAGTTTGATACGGTGAAAATGTGAAAAACCCAATGTTCAATGCGCATCGGAAAACTGCAGTGATTGCTGTAACAATATGTAACAGATTGGATTTGTAAGGGGCCAATCTCTGCCGCACAAAGAGGACCCCATCCAGTGTATCAGGACACGTTGGAAAGTCCAACAGATATGCATATAGTTTTTATACATATATATATATATATATGAATGTGTTTGTATATATATATCTAAATGTATCTCGGAGACCATGATTTTTCACGTCCATATTAGTTTACTTCGAGGTATATATATATATGTATGTATATTCACATTTATTCACCATTTATCCAAAAATAAACTAGCTTACCCGCTTAACCCACGTAATTTCATTTGTGTTTGCTTAAAGCCCCAATGCCCCAATGCTGTTTGCTGGATACATTGCCACATCTATCACTGGGAAGCCAGCTTCCTTCTAGTTTTACTGGTTACATCCCCATTTTTTCTGTAGTTCGAGCAATTTTGGGTTGATTAAACCATTAAGCCTACGAGAGTAACATAGCTACAGTAATGGAAACTCACCATAGTTTAATAGGTAAATGAACAAACCCAGGTGTAGAGATATCTACCATGAACATCCATAAACTATAGTTAAGGTACACAGCGCGCGAGCACTGCGTGCCGCTGATGTGAACGGCCTGGCAGATCCCTTCTGCGCGGCATGGTTTATGTTGGTGTTTTGAAGCCGGAAGGTTGATAGAGTTTTCTTTTTGAGGAGGGATAAGGCTGTTGAGAAGTTGACATGTTGAAGTTGATCAAGTCAGAAAATGACTGAGGGGTGACCATTTGAGAGATTTTGTGTAAGGGGTCAGTAGAATTGGGACAAGGATGGATATGGGGCCAATCTCCAAAATACATTATGTAAATACATGCAATATATGCTGAACCAATTTCGAGGTCCAATTGGTCCAAATTAGTTGTTGTTGTCCCAAAATAAAGCGTCCATTTGGCAAAAGATGGGAAAAAATCTCGACTCCCCCGAGGGAGGTCATCGAGACTGGTAGTGATGATACAAATCGCTGCTATTGATGTTGGCCAATGTTCCCGACTCTCATTGGAATCTTGGAGGATGGTGTGATGGTGCATTGAATATCCTTGCTGTGACATTTAGATTAGTTACCCTTTCGTAAATTAATAATTCGACTTTGAAAATCACCTATTTTTGGTGGTTTCACTCATCTTCCAGCCCCTATTTGGCAGGGTCAAACGGTTAGTTTACTGGAAAGTTACATAAACCCCAAGAGTCTCAGAGTGGTTCCTGGATTCCAAAAGCTTCCACAACCCAGGTGGTGGAGCTCTTAGGAAAGCCGGGGACCAAATGCCACACCCAAGTGGTGCGACGAAGTTTGCCTCTTGACTGGACCTACGTGCATTCTATAAATGGCTTACTGGTGCTAAACGTAGGGAATGAGGGAATGATCCATAATAACTATTAATAACAATCCCAGCAACCCCCATTGCAACCCCCAGCAACCCCATTCATTCCCTACGTTTAGCACCAGTAAGATGGGAACTCACTCAAACACTAAAACATACCAACACTCACCGTTGATGCGCACTTTGTGTGTGGGAGCGTGAGATTTTCACACTCGAAGAATTGCGGAATTGTCGCAGTTGGCATAGACCTCGAAGTCGCAGCTGGCACTGAGGAATCCAGAGTGGGATGAATCCTTTGTGCTGAAGAACTTGACGGAAAGTGTTTGGATGGCATTCTTCAGTACGTTTTTCTCTGAATATCCATCAAGATACTGAAATATCCGTCAGAATATCCGAATATCCGATTCAAACTAGAATATCCGAATATCCATCAGTACTGAAAGATGGCAATGGGAAGAAATGGAGGATGTTCCGTAGCAAACTGTGAACATACCAAGCTGTAATCATCCCCTAGATTTATACGATCGCCTATGTTCTGGAACAGACACCACCATGTTTGGTACATCATCGACCTAAATGGACCTGGGTGTCCATAGCAAAACTCTTAAATTACCGGAGGATACTTGGTGGTTCACCCCATTTTTTGCGCACAACTGGGGTCATAACGTGTTATAACCCACTTACGGTTCCTGGGGGTGAACCACCAAGTAGCCCCCCCTAGTTGTAAGTTCGTTTACAAGCCCCATAAACTATAGTTATATCTTCCATAAACCTTGCTTAACATAGTTGTAAGACTTAGCTATCATTTGGGGGCCGAACCCTAGTCAGCCATTGAGAATACCCCTATCCCATCTCAATAATATAGTAGCTGATGATGATAGCTTTCCCTACTATATGAATGGCTTATAATTATACTCCCCAATCACTTTGCGTACAACTCTCAATAGGAACATACAATAACCACCAGGGAATAACTTTCATGGCTCATATGTGTTGCGGTTCAATCCCCTATTTCAATGGATTAAAGTTTCAGGGAAAACTTACTTCGGAAAGCCCCATGGTCTTAAGGGGAAAATCTGATTTTCCTGTCGGAATTTTCCCAACAAAACCAATCCATTGACGAATCGGTGACCTCTGAGATGACTCGATGCAATTCTCTGTCTTCGACTATGACTTCGATAAGCACGACTGCCTGGGAACCGCCACTGTGAAAGGCGCGGAAGCGGAAGCGCCACTGTTTTTCTCCTGAACAAGGACCCAAAAAGCGGAAATGCTTGTTACTGGTTTACATAAATATTGCAGTCAGAGTCAAAAAATAACAAAATATATAAATAGATTATATGGGATGCGTGTTTATGTTGTATCTAGCCTAATAGCTGCAACAGTCATTAAAACGATTTCTTTATAGTTGGGGCAAGTTTTGTTTTGAGTGTTGTCCTTCGCGAGAAAAAGCGTCCTTTTTGGCGCTCTCCTTCGTGCAAAAAATCGTGATCTAAATCGTTATACCTTTACCAACTTTGCGATTTAACTCACTAGGGCATCATTTTCGATAGTTGAAATGTACATTTGTTTGATGGTTCTATCATGTTCTATCCCTATAAAATATAAACAATTCATTAAAATCATCATTTTTGCCACTGAACATCACCATTTGGCATATGTTTGCCATGTCTCCGGAAAAAACACCGGGGCCCAGCCCAGGAAGTCGCATCATAGAGTCAGGTGTGATTGAGGCGCTTAGCGGGGGCTTAGCAGGGGATCAATTTCCCATGGTTTGATAAGGATAACAATGGGAATATCATCAATGGGAATTCCAGGATCCTAAAATGGAGGTACCGTACCATATAAGGCCATATGAATTGTGGGGATATTCCCTTACATAGGCCTTACATAGGCCTTATATAGGCCTTATATATGGTAGGTACCTCCAATTTAGGTACCTGAAATGGCCATTGATATCATGGGAAATCAGCAATATTTTGATCATGACCGATGACAGTCGTTGTCACGGAATGATGAGGAATGATGATGAATGTAAAGGGGAATCATCATGAATCATCCACAAATGGCCGTATGATACAAGCATATACAAGCTATTTTCAGATTAGTGAGTTATAGCCAGAATTGTACTCGTCCTGGAGCAGATAGAATATGGAATTGTCATTATTATTTTCCAATACAGGTAATATGGAATGTTGTATAATTTTCATGATCATTATGCAATATTCCAACACACAGAAAATTACATATTGCATAACAATATCCCCCCAAAAAAGGGGGGTTGGGTGCCCTGATTTTGTAGAGAAAACCCCTTGGAAGATTTGTGGCAGGTTCCTCATTCTGTAGAGGCCTGGGGCGCCAAAAGTCAGATTTGGCTCTACAAAATGGGGACACCCAACCCCCCCAGGTCATTTTTACCCATTGATCCCATTGAACATGGTGGATTTTTCCATGGTTTTGTGTTAATGTTTACCAGAGGGTAGGTAAATCCACCATGTTTATCATCTATAAATGGGCCATGGCTGCCATAGCTATGTTAAATAAGAGGGTAACTACAAACATATTTACTTATACTTACCTAATATACATGAATAGCTCAGCATGTCCATTTGATTCATCTATTTGGCTTACAGGAACCGCCACAATTGTAAAACGGAATTAGGAGTACGAAAGTACGGTAAAATACCGTACCTTCGTACTCCTTCGGATCGCGATTCTGCGCGGATTCGGATCCTGTTCTATAATTAGGTTTTAGTTGTTCTATAATTATTGTGTAAAAAACTCCTCAACTTCTGTTTTACGAGGAGGTTACTTACATGTATCTTTCTGGGACCCCGGAAAAATGATGAAAACTGTACATAGAACAGAGAATTATAGAACGGAATTATTGCAAACTTAATTATAGAACACGCAATTATAGAACTGAATTGGTAAAGGTGAGAAATAGTGGAAAACACAAAACAGGAATTATGGAACAACAGGGTACGGTAAACAACCGTACTTTCGTACTCCTTAACTTCCGTTCTATAATTCTGGCGGTGAACATATAAAGAATAACTAAATTACTAGTTGAGATCCCCACAGGTGGGGCAGGACAGTGTTTATCTCCCAGACCTGCCAGGGTTGACTCTCTATAAACCCAGTTGGCTATGTTAAATTACCGCTGGGTAGGTTTCCTGTATTTTTTTGCCCTGTCTCCAGTGATGAGTTTAACCACGGTACGAGAGATGGCTCCAAGATGACCCTGAACTGCATCCGGTTGGTGGTTTGGAACATGTGTTATTTTCCACAATATATGGGATGTCATCCTTCCCATTGACGAACTCATATTTTTCAGACCGGTGGCTCAACCAGCAACCAGTTATCTATTATTAACCACTATTAACCACTACTAACCAACCATGGATGGCCTTTTCCCATTGGTTGGTTGAAACCACCAACCAGGGGAGTTCAAGGTGAAGCTATATCGGTTTCCATGACATGTGTGGCAGCTGCAGCACTTCAGGAGGAACTGACCCTGGAAGACGCCAACCACCGTCAGTTAGGACGTGGCCTGGTGGAACGGGCCACGGCCCAGCGATGACCAATGCATGGCCCTGGTTGATTCCATTCGCGTGTGTGTCGCATGATATATATATATATATATATTTATAGGTATATTTGTGTATGTATTTATGTATTGATTTATTTATTATTGAATTATTTTATTTATTTATTTATTTATGTAACTGTTTACTTATTTTTTTGTTCATTCATCTTATATTTTATGTATGTATTTATTTTATTTAGTTATTATTATCATTATTGTCATGATTGTCATTAATATGAATAGATTATATTTGTTTATTGCATGTTGTATACTATATAACTTGCATATCATATATATATATAATAGGGAAGCCATCGGGGTTTTAACCTTGATCATGGGGACAAACTAACTCTATTCATCTGAAAAACCACAGGTTTGGCCCCCATCCCCGGAATAGATGACCTATTAAATCGCGTTTCTCCAAGATCAAATAGTGGTTATAATGCTGGCTAATAGTGGTTAAGAGTGATTAATAGTGGGGGGTCAAATCTATAACTGGCTGGTGGTTTGGAACATGAATCTATAGATATTACCCTCTGGTAATTTCACATAATTAGCTATTGAAAATGGCCCATTGAAATAGTTGATTTACCTATTAAAGCCGGTGATTTTCCATAGCTATGTTAGTTTACCAGAGGGTACCCAAGATCGAGAGAGCCCCCTGGTTTATCCTGGTGTGTTGGAATATGTTGGTCCAAATGCCTGGGTCAAAAAAACATCAGCTGAGGTCGCACCAAGGCATGGTGGGCTTGAGCGGCTCAAAGAAATCATGGGGTGAATCACCCGCAGAAATGGAGACGATTGTTGAAATTCATAATACAGTTGAGGCCCAGAAATTCTAGTCCAGCTTCTAGGTTCCAGAGATTACTTTCGTATGGTCCTGTGATGTTTGGCCGATACTGTACATGTCATATTCCCTCCATTCCTAGAATTGGTTTGAAGCACAACCTCCAGGAAAGCCTTGTACTGGGGTCAAAACCCTTGTTTCTGGCTAGGAGTTTCCCTTTAATCAATCCCTAGATCGATGGAATGTGACGACGTCATGCCAGATCAATGGCTACTTGTCCGTAACAATGGCGATTCTGAACAGTGACGGTGTCACAGTGCGACGCAGGGCTCCTCAGTTCGGAATCATGCTCGCTATGAGCAGAGCGCAGTCCAATCCGCATTTGGATCTGTTTGGAAATGCGGTATACTACCAATTTGTGACCATATTCAGAGGAACATAGAGCTTTAAACCATCAAAAGTGAGGAGGTTTCCATGATTTTCCCCCAATTTTCAGGTCCCATACCTATTTCTGATCACTTCAATGGGTCAAAAAACGTCCCCCGTTTCGCTTCCCGCCATCTCCTCGGCCAGGCGCGGATTCCTTCACCCGGCAGCTGCGCACGTCCTTCGGCGGGCGTATGGCCAAGGTAAGGGAGGCGAGCGCAGCGCCCCGGAGCTGCAGAGGGTGGGTTGGTTGATGAAAGTGGGGTCTCCCATAGAATCACTGGTTGATAATAATGGTTAATCTATGGTTAATCTATGGTTAATCTATGGTTAATCTATGGTTAATCTATGGTTAATAATTGGAATAACAATATATTTGGTTGGTGGTGACTGGAACCATGGAATTTTGACTGACTTTCCATATATTGGGAATGGAAGAATCATCCCAACTGACGAACTCCATCATTTTTCAGAGGGGTTCAAACCACCAACCAGATTAGTAGGTCCTATGACAACACAGGGTATACCGTAGACCGACCCCTCTAAATTTGTTTGAAAAGGACACTTAAATGATTGGGGTCATGGCTTAAGATTGATGGGTGATTTTATGGAATGTGGTAAGCTAAATTGCCACAAAGCGTCCTAGAAACCACTATTTGTTTGGGGGTTCCTTTGAAATCATCCCAATACCCAAGAATTAACCCAAATTGGGGATTGTTTATTATGGGGGTTCCTTATTGTATAATCTGGATCATTGATGGGATTGTAAGTGTAACTAGTCAAATGGCCCAATGACCCTATTTTTCATGATTATTAATGATAGTGATCCTTTTGGATACTTTTCATGATTGTTAATGATCATGATCATGACAATGGTCGTAGCTATAAGCTGTCTTTGCTCCTTTTGGTGCGGTGCAGGCCATTTCAGAGCGAGATGAAGTTGCAAGAGTGCCCAGTTACATAAGATTAGGACAGGCGCGGGTGGAGTTCGCCAGGTTGCAATAAAATAAGAGGCACATGTCCAGGTATAAACAAATATAAAAAGCTGATTGTCCGGCAACTTAAGCTGGCAATGTTACTGTAGAATTACTGTAGACTTGACTGCAGGAGAAAGTCGACCACCTTGTGACAGCCATCCAGAAACAAGGTCCTTTGCTACGAAACAAATAAACAAAGGAGGTTAGAGGTCGCGTGAAGCATGCAGAAGTCTCAATGGTTGTCCCTTCAGAGGTTGAACATCGTGTACAACCTGGTGAATCTAAAATAAACGAAACATGTTTGCTGCCAGCATTGGCTTACGGGAAAGCCTACAACAAAGCCTCGCATTTGGGGCGCAAAAGCGTTTACTGTGGATATTCCCATGGCTGAATGTGGTAAATCATTGTAAATTCAACTAAAAATCAATATCCTCAAGTCCTTAACCAACAATTACATTGGGATCATGTTACAACATCAACCATGCTGCAGCCATAAGGTGATCCACAATGATAAATGGTGATGTCTCGCTTCAGGCGGCGCCAAAAAAGAGGTCGACTTCAACAGTCTTGTTTCGAAAATCCCTACTGGAAGGAGCATGAAATTTAATGTAGTTTAAGTTTAGCTCATGAGTTTTTTGGATTTTAATTTTATGATGATTTTCTTTGTATATGACCAAGATTGATGTGAAGCAGGCTATGTTTTTTTTGGGGGGTACAGCTCACAGCAATCGGGGCACTGGGCCGTCAGCTGCGAGGAGCTGTGTCAGAGTGAGGAGTTCCCTTCTGCAGCATGATACATCGAAACACTACCGTGAAATACCATTTTTGTCCAATGGGATCCAATGGGATTTAAATCCAACGATTACCCTCTGGTAAAAATCCAGATAGCTATGGAAAATCACAATTTTTCATGGGTAAATCAACTATTTCAATGGGCCATTTTCCAGTTCGCTCTGTAACCAGAGGGTAATCCAGTGATTCAATGCAATCCAGTACTTTGGACCGCAATATTCTGCCATGTGTTTTACAACGCGTTTTGCGGAAGGTCTCACAGCAATTTCTTTGGCTCACAAAATGTGAGCCGAAACAAGCCGAACAAAAATGGATGCATTGGCTGCATTGGCTTATTTTCATCTTGGAGCTGGGATTTCACAAAATGCAGTGGTTTTCTGAGCGTAGTAAATCCCCAAAGAAGAAACAGTTCCATGTTTTTACTTTGTGGGCTTCAAGACAAACTGTGACAAGTTGGCATGCTTCATGGGTTTGACATGGTTTCACCACATTATATATGAAAAGAACACTTTGGCCATACAGGAGGTGATTCCCCTTTTCAGATTTGAACATGCCAGACTGTGGTCCCTCCACCACTGGAAACATGACAATTTCGAGGTCAATATGGTACAAACAACACTAAGAGTAAGAATTGCAAATGCATAGCGCCAGCACATGCTGGTTATGAGGTGGATACCTTATCTCAGTTCTGTTCCCTTGTTGATCCTGGTTAAGTTTCGTTGTGGAACCGCTGCTCGTTCCTGCTCAAACGCTCGTACGCCTGCGAAGCGACTTAAAATATGGGCTCATGGTGGCATGGAGTCTGCAGTACGAACTGGTCTAGAAACGGACTTAGCAAACTCTGGAGCACCAGTTGAAGACACATTCCATCTATGACTTTAGGGCCGGTGGAAAGGCATCCGAAGCACAACTGATGTCTCCCCAGTGCAACATGAAAATGGCATGGAAACTCGTAGTGCATTTGCCATCCCAATCTCAGGGTCTGACCAAGTTTGAGATGTTTGAGAAGCACCGCCCCGAGCACTCAACAAAGCATAACAAAGCACCGCAATTACCTACTATCCTGGTCATGATTGTACCATATTGTACCCATAAATGATCACAACATATCACAAGTGGTGTTTCCTTCAGAGTCAACTGAGAGTATGAGGCCCCAAATGTAAGCAGGAACAAGGAACTATCATTGTAGATACTCGGCCTGCCGATCACTCGCAATTCACCCACTCCATCGCCATGCAAGTCAATGCGCACAACCAGGTGCTCGGATTCTTGGTGGTGTTCAGCGGAGCTGAACGGTTCACTGAAGCGGTATCCAGTGGTTACTTCACTTGAGAAGTGTCCAAAGCCCTTGCGGGTTGATGATTATAGACTTATATCATTACGGGAGATTGTCATCTTCCAAAAGACGGGAACTCGTATTCACCACCCCTTTTCAATGGAGTTTTCCGGAGGGTTTTTGTTCACGCTTCTCAATTGCCAGCGGTAAAACATGGCATCATGTCACTGGAGCACCATCAATTACCAACTCCATGGCCTTCACTGAGTCTCCTCAGCATTGCTACCCCACTTCAGTGCTGCAATATTTCGCATACGTCATCACGCCCCAAGAGCGTGTTGCAGATAGTGGATCTCATGAGGTTTTTTGATGGTGAAGCATAAGATTCGGGTTACAGCCTACGTTCAGTCAGACACATTCAAAAACCATATTGTTATATCATGGTGTATCCCATTGTAGCTTATAATATTCCCATAAGACCATAGAAACAATTTTATTTGTTGGTTCTTCCAAATATATATAAATATATCCAATCACATACGATCAAACAGAGCCCGCGATCCAAGTTTTCCCATGATATTGCTATTATATGCCATCATATCCCATGAAAATTCCCATGTCTATCATATCGTATCCCATTAAACCACTAGAAACATCGTTGCTGCGCCCACCCTGGCGCCGGATCTCGGCCAGGCCCAGGTGTGGTGTGGATCCCCGGGTGGAACGGTGGTAGTTCAACTCAGTCCAGCCTCAGAAAATGGAAATTTACCAAGTGAAGTTGGATATACCCTCTGGTTATTTAACATGGCCATGGAAAATCACCATTTTTAATAGGTAAACCATCTATAAATGGGCCATTTTCCATGGCTATGTTAGTCATAACCAGATGGTAAATGATATGAATCCAGAGAATCCAGTCTCAGATTATGAAGTTAGATCATGATTTTTTGATGTTTTTGGGGAGGATTTGACTGCTCTGAATCTTTTTGAGTATTGCAAAAAGCGGGATTTGAAGCAACCAATATGGGGCAACCAACATTCGACCACAGTGGGATGAGTATCCAGATGCTCTTCCCCAAGGACCATAGGGAAGTCCACTCCATTGGATGACGTATGAGAAGTCATTTTTATCCCCTCTAAAGAATACCCCCAAGAAGACACCCAACATGAAGAGATCCAATACGAAACTAGGGGTTCAAAGGGCGGGATTTCATATGTTGAGCAAAGGGTTATTTAAAAAGTGGGGATGTCGCAGTGTCAGGTGAGATTTCCAGGGTGCCCAAAAGTTGGGACCATGACAAAAAGCACCGGCTTTTCGCATATCATGTTGTACAAAACATATTTAGTAAATTTTAGTAATGTGTTAGGCCGGTTCCAATCAACGTTGTAGATATTCGAGTCACATGTGCAGTCATCATCACAGTTTGTATATCTGCATTTTTACAGACAGAACATTTTTTCCGAATGTGTACACTTACTGTAATGTAAGTGGAAGCTACACCGGGGCCGAATAAGGTATGCCATTTTCCATGGTGTATCATCATGCATTAGAATTACCATGTGTGTGGGGGAGGGTGCCACATGTTCAGTCATACCAAATATCTTCTTCTGTGGTGAACTGTTTGTGTTCATGCTTAAATCAAGCTAGACCCTCGTTTTGGGCTGTGTGAAATCTTCAATTTTTTGATGTTTAAACTCCGTTCTTCATGGCTCAACTATGTTCAACTTTCAGTGTTGCTCCACTCTTGCAGGTTGTCAATTTCTAGCTCTAAGGCAAAACCGTTAGAAGCCCCGGCAAAAAAAAAACTATGATCGACTAAAGCTAAAACCTCCTTTGCTCATGGTTTTTCATGGTTTTTTCATGGTTCAACTATAGTTCAGCTCCTAATTTTTCACAGTAAAACCACCAGGTTCTCCTCATCTTTTGGCCCCCGCCAAGGCTGACCCCTGGGGGCCCCGTGCCCGGCGGGCCGCCGATCGCACAGGCCAACCTGGAAGAGAAGCCATGGTTTATCTATAAAAAATGACGATTTATTGGCAAAAGATGTTGATTTACCACAATTTATTTGTGGGTTTTTATGGGACAATAGTGATTTACTTGTAAAAATTGATAAACCCGAGTTGTATTTGTTGTAAACCAACCGAGCTAACTTAGCTAACTACGGCACACCACCTTGCAGCTTCAGGGACCGTAGTGCGTTACACTATGTTACAATGACAACTTAGAGATTAGTGGTGGTTTCAAACAATTTTCCATAATATATGGGATAATCCTTCCCATTGACTAATATTTTTCAGAGGGGTTGAAACCACTAACCAGATATAATTATAATGGAAGCTTAATGGGGGATACATGAGTCATTAAAAGATACCATTACTAATGGGTTAAGAAAAGTGGTTCTGCACATCCTGGTGCCATAGATGTTGGTCATGTGTAGTGAACCATCCCATTTCTGGGTACTCAACTGTCACCCAGTCACCTGTGAATTTTAAAACTGGCTTGAAGGACAAATCTATACACAATTGGAAATACACCATGCTGGTTGCCAGATTTAAATCTAATGGGTTTCATTATGTGTTAGTTTTATTTTTATTTTTATTTCGGTCTTTCTTGAGCACAACAAAAGCTGGGAAAGGAGCCAACCACAAGGTACACCTGCGGGCCTGTATCATGCATGCAATGGTTATTTGTTTATATAATGTACTGGCGATGGAGGGAGAGAGAGAGAGAGAGAGAGAGAATGCACACCCAAATGTGTTGCTGTTATACCAAATCTATGTCTATACATATACACATACACACATGTATATATATATATATTTGTGTGTTGTTTACTGTGTATATACACATCATATGTATGAGGAAACATTTTGATCAGCATTGCCCATTGCTAGCTCGATGACTCGACATCTTCAGTCCCTGTCGAGGGGTGAAATTAATTGGTACCAGCCCCAAAATC